CCACATCTACTGCATTGATCCCGGTCCCTTCTGCGGCGCGCCCGACGATCCATTTGAATTTTAAAGCGTCTCGTTTGGGCACGACCGGGTTCAGGCTTCGAGATGATCCTGTCCCAATGCGGAATCAAATTCCATCCCACCTGCAGCCACGTGTCAGGATTTCCAACTGGAGCAAAATTCCAATTAGAAAATTGAGCAACCCAGTTCTCCGTCCTAAAGTGAAAATCGTACAACAAGTTCGGTTGATCACCCCGGTAACGACACACGGCTAATGCATGAGAGCATGGTTTCCGATATGTCTGCCACTTCCGACATGTACAGCGCCGATGCTGATAATCAACCGTAAACCTGTTTTCCACAATGATTGATATATATAAATAAAAATAAAAAACAACTAATTTGAATGGACAAATAAATAATAAAAAAACATACTTGTTTTGCCCTCTTCCACTGGCGCGTAGACCAGTTATCACCTTGTATTGGGATCCGTCGGCGTACGCACATTGCACCTCGTGAGTCGCCGCTGTCCTGTCCAACACCAGATAGGCGGCATAGAGTTCGGTCGGAATGAGACTCCTGCAGCTTGTGGATTTTTTTTGTTCCTGTTCAAACAAAGCTAGAGTCTTGTCCATTGTGGCCTGTACCAACGCTCTACAAGGCAGGAACCTGACACCTTTGAGGACATTGTTGTAACTTTCTGACATGTTGGTTGTCAGAGTGCCCCATCGACGTCTGTTATCTTTGTACAGGGTCCACTTTTCTAAAGGAATTCGGAAAAGGTAATTGTATGCTTCCGGGTGACATTCCTGAAGTTGCTGTTGAGCCTGCTCAAATTTCCGACGAGAACACAATGAACCCAACCTCCAGCACAAAACTCGGACTTTCTTATTCCGATACCTTGAAAGCACATTGCTCCGGAGGTGTCGAAGGCATATCCGATGAAATGCATGGGGTTCGTGCCAGTAATTCAACGACACTCAATATGCCGTTGTCCCTGTCAGAAAGAAGACATATCGGTTTGTTGCGAACGACATGATTACGCAGATGTGTTAGGAAAAAAGACCAGCTAGTCGTGCTTTCTTCGTCCACAATCGCATACGCGACTGGCAATAGACGCTTATTCGCTGTCTGTGCAATGGCAACAAGCAACTTCCCCTTGTATGAACCTGCTCAGTTGGACATATGTTTTTTGTTTATCAGACACTATTGTAAATCAACAAATGAAATAAAAAAATATTTTGCTACGAACCTCGCAGGTGAGTGCCGTCGATGCTAATAATCGGCGGGCAACGAAGGAATGTTTGAATGGCGGGGCCGAACGCCCATAAGACAAATCTGAATTCTCTGTCTCGAGAATGATGCGCCAATTCCCCACCCTGCCATTCCCACTCAACAACTGTACCGGGATTCGCCATTTGAATGGCGGCGAAAAACCTACAAATTATAAAAGGTAACCATAAATAAATAAATAATTAAATATAGTTACAACCAACAAGGAAATACATTAATAATTAATTTCGACACTTACTGGGGGAGTTGTGCAAAATTCGACTCCCACGTGCCATACACACGATCGATGGCTTTATAAACAATTTGGATAAATATTCAACATACAACAAAAACCCATCATACAATAGCTAATTATAATCATTTAACACAACGATTAAACCAATATTCAAGATTTCCTAAACAATACTCAATTAACCAAATATACTTCAATTAAACATTAATAAACAACAAAAACATAATACTACATTACATTAAAATAACAACTAACCTTTTCCCCGACGATTGGTTGAAATGTTTTTTTTTTTAAATTGCCTTCAAAAATCGAACAGAAAAAAAAAATTGGGATGGATGAATAATTTGTGGTCGGGGGAGCAGTATGCAGCTTTTTATATTGACCAAAACACAGATTCTCATAATCCATGTTTTTTTTAAAGTAACACGGATTTTGGTAATCCGCGTTTTCCAGTATTATTATTAAAATCCACCGACAGTTTCGACTTTCATTTAAAAAAATAAAAATAAAATGTAAAACAAACACGGATTCTGAAAATCCATGTTTCGGTTAAAAATTTTAATTAGAAACACGGATTTTCAGAATCCGTCCGTTTGATTTTTTTCCACAATTATTTTTTTTTTATTTTTTGCCACAGATTTTTATATTTTTTTAAAAAAATAACCCACTCTATCATCATGTCAATTTAAAGCAGAACAGAGATTTTCCTCTAATATGAAAAGAGATAAATTGTTAATATAGATTTGAAAAGGAAAAAGTCTTGTTATAATCAACTTATTTCTCCCGTTTCTTACATGATATCAGAGTCAGTTCTATTGAAATCGTACAATGACATAATATTTTTTTCCATGTACCCGTTTATAGGAGTTTGTTTCTAGTAGGGCTTGAGCATCCAACTCCGTATATGGGCTTGAATTTTCTTTTCAAGAACTCGTTTTATAGACTGTCTTAAGTATTAACTATCATTATTTTAGTTAATAAAATTACAAAGAGAAAATAAAATAATGATGTCTGCCACTCCTCTCCCTCATTAGAGACAGCCTACATTATTTCACTCTAAACCGATCATTATTCTCTGAATTTCTCCTTTCAATTTCTCATTATCATGCTTTAATTTAATGATAATTAAATAACTAATCACACAAATTATAATTAAGAATTAAAAATATACATGTAAAATGCTACATGCATGTCTTATCATCATAAGTTGAAATTTTGATAAATAAATCTCATTACCATGTGCACCAACGAATGCCAAATCTTTTGTCTGTGTCAAATTTTGCTGGCGAAAGTCAACATATCTAAATTCTAAAATCATAAAAAAATTAAAAAAATAAAAAAAAAAATAAAAAATCATCAAATGATAATCGCTTGCACGTTGTTGGCCATAGCTGATCAAGATTATTAACTCCAATAATTAATTTGTAGTGTGTATGCATGCATAAATCTGGATTAAATTAAAAAAAATATATATATACACAATATCAGAAAACAATAATAAAAAATTAATAAAACTACTTTAAATTTGAGATAAAGGAAATGGCTTATAGGAGAGTAGTACTCAATGGATGATATGAATTAATGTCTATTGAAATTAGGGGGGAAATGTAACAATAAATTTTTTATTGAAATGTAATATTCATAGGATCCCGAAGCATTCGGTATTCGAATTTGCCATTTAGGTTCAGCACGTTCTGAATTATTATATAAAGGGGATTTCTTAAAATTCAGTTACATTTACTTAGACAAATACTATAGATTTCAAAAGCTAAAAAAAAAAAAAAAAAACCCGTCAGGTTACAAATTTTCTTTGTTTGCTTTAAAATTATGATCAGGCCATATAATTAATTAAGAAGTAATCACTGAATGCACGACATTATATTCCTTAATTATGCTCTTCTTAATTAATTTATCCCATGCCTTGAGGGACATGCATGATTAAGATGGATTAATAAATAATAATCATTTACCAACATGATTATTAATCTTTTGCGGTGATTAGGGAGATTTCAATTGAATTTTCTACCCACGCAAACCGAATGTTTTGTCAAACATTAATATGAAATCAAAAACAGAAGAACAGCAAACTGTTCAGTTCATGGACTTTATTAAACAATGCCTCTTTTAATTTTCACTCAACTATACATAGTCATACATAAATGGCTTCAACAAACACACACAAACACTCAAATAGAGCTAAAACATTTGTTTCTAACTAAGAAACTTCAAAAAAAAAAAAATGAAGTTTCGAATTGTTATCCCCTTTCTTTTCTTCATTTTATCGAGCCATATGATTTCCAGTTACGCCAAAAAGCACCACCGTAAGTTAAAACCGAAACCCGCACCAAGTCCAAACAACAGTAATTATTATGATTCGAAAACCTTTAATGTGATGGATTACGGTGCCAAAGGCGATGGCAAAACAGACGACACGAACGTAAGTTCATAATATTATATGTAATCATAGGCGCGGTTCATTTTTTACGAATTAAAACCGATTTTTATGTTCCGGTTTTTTTAATTTTATGATCGTCAGGCGTTTAAAAATGCCTGGTTAGATGCCTGCAAAGCGGGAAATTCAGAGGTATTAGTTCCTGCTGATTACACATTTTTGTTGGGGCCACTGGACTTATCAGTCCAGTGCAATAACATCATTTTCCAGGTAAGAAAAAGAAAAAAATCATATCTAATTTTTCCGGAAAAAAAAAGTACGAAAAAATCGAGTAATTAATTAACACGTTTGATTTTTCATGCAGTTGAATGGAAATTTATTAGCCTCCACAAGTTCCAGTGCCTGGAAAGGAAATCTCTTACAATGGCTGAATTTCAGATATGTCACAGATTTACGAATTCAAGGCACGGGTCGAATCGATGGCCAAGGACTCGCTTGGTGGAATAAAAAGAACGGGTTTTCAACTGCACCAACTGTAAGTTACAAATTGAAAATTAAATTTAAAATGTCACACCAAATAATATAAGATAAATTAATTACAATCATGTTTGGTACTTTGGCCTAAAAAACTCTGTTTTTTTTCTAAGGCATTGAGAGTTGCTGATGTGAAGGGCTCGACGGTTGTTGGCATAAGCTTCGTGAACAGCGCGAAAGCACACTTGAAATTCGATAACTGTGATGGGGTTTTAGTCGACACGATCAGCATTCAATCACCGGGCGAAAGTCCCAACACGGACGGTATCCATTTGCAAAACTCGGTAAATGTGGAAATTCGAGAGAGCAAAATCAGTAGCGGTAATAAAAATGCACGAAATTATGTCGCATTTTTTTCTCTCTCTCTCTCTCTCTATATATATATATATATAAGTACGAGCAAAATTTGATGAATGTGTACGGTTTTTTATAGGAGACGATTGCATATCGATACAAACGGGATGTGAGAACGTATTTATAGACAGAGTTGCATGTGGGCCGAGCCATGGTATAAGCATCGGTGGATTAGGAAAAAACGGGGAAAAAGCCACCGTCTCGGGTGTTATTGTCCAGGACTCGACAATCACATCTTCCATGACCGGAACAAGGATTAAGACTTGGCAGGTAAATCAACCGGAAAAAAGAAGAAGAAACATGTTGGGAAATTTGTTTGATTGAGTACACTCTGGACACTAACGTAGTTACTTAATTAAGTTGTTTGCTGCTTGTTCTATCATCTTTCTCAATATATGAAGAAGCTTTCATTTTTGTGTTGATATTTTAACAAAAATCAGTTAAGGCTATGTTTAGTAAACTTAGCTGATAATGTAGATTATAGCTGATGAACTAGCTTATAGTTTTAAGTGAATTTTGAGCTTATAGCTAATATGTTATGATTTATGATTGAAAGCTAGCTTATATGATAAAAATAGTTGATAAGCTAGCTGAAATAAAAATTTTAATCGAGCTTATTCAAAAAGTAACCCAAGGAAACTTATGAGATAAAAACGAGCTTTTATGAAAAAACTCGTTCTTCATACCAAACAAACCTTATTTGAATACAAGAAACTTATAGACTGATCAAATAAGCTATAAGCTAGCCCATATACTTACCAAACACATCCTAATTTTTTGAATTTTCAGGGCGGGTCGGGTGCGGTAAGCAATGTGAGTTTCACGAACATCCGAGTCTCGAAAGTCGACACGCCTATAGTCATTGACCAATACTATAGCGATGAAGGGCACACTCAGAACAAGACTTCGGCTGTGGCTGTAACAGATATATCATTCGTCAAAATTCAAGGCACGTATAATCAAAAAGCCGTTTCAATTGCTTGCAGTGACAACTCGCCGTGCAAAGGTGTAACCTTGTCGAACATAGGCCTCAACTCAGCATCTTTAGAAACCGAATCTCCACTTTGCTATCGTGCGTATGTTAGTGTAGAGGATCCGGTCTCTCCTTCTATTAACTGCAAGGGGTAGCTAATAACGTTTGGTTCGTAATTTTAACTACGCGACGTGCCAAATGTCGTGGAACAGACATTATTAGGCGCGCTTTCGCCTTTTGTTCGTGTAGATGTTTTTTGGGCACGTTAGGGGAATGTGCGCGCGTTAATCTGTAAGACAGAACGAATTATGTACGAAATAATATATACATATAGGTGTGTTGAAAAGTGATTTTAGTAGTCATTTTTCATTTTTCATAGAGAAGCAAAAACCTTTTGCATATTCCACAAATTAGAAAAATGGCTGAACAAACTCAAGCAACGAGACAAAAGAATAAGCGCTAAACGCATGTTTAGCGTTTTCATCGATTATACAGTTGAAATTATGTCCAAATTAACAATTGGGATTTAAATAAAAAGTGAATTTGGCTTCCATTCAATTTGAGATTTTCGATAATGCAGACCTTAAATACTCCAATGGTTAGAAGGTGAAATATTTTTTTTTTGGAGTTTTTTCAATATAAGACCTGAAAGATGTGTAAATTATCAATTCGGGGCTTGAAAGATTTCTTTTCCTCAATTCGGGATTTAAATGTTATAAAACTATCAAATTAAATCCTACAATTAACAACACTCATAAAAACCATTAAATTGAGAGTTAATTTGATATTTTTTTTTTATTATAAGCATATTTTTATAATAAAATAGCATATTTAAATAAATAAAAATATGAGTTATAAATATGTATTTTGGACCCAATGGATTAAAAGTTGTATGTGTATTTACAGTTTGTTCCTGTTAACTTAATTTGCAGATTCATTTATTACGTACTCTCAAATTATATAATTAATAAATAAATAATAAATTATTTATATCAAATTACCAATAGGCAGAATAATATTTATTTTACATATAAGTTTGAGTTATACCCGATTTTGATTGACTAAAAACTATAAGAAAAAGTAAACTATATATAAATTATCATACTTAGTGAGAGAATTGACAATTAATTAATGTGGAAACGAAAATTCACAATAATTCGTGACTCCGAAATTCAAAATTAGAATAAAATAAGATTTCGAGCTCGCAGCAATAGGAAAGTATATATTGAAATAATTCTTAATCCATTTTCACGAAATTTGCTAAAAATGAATAAAAATTTAAACTAGAATATTCTAATCAAACATCAATTACCAATATTCAATTAATTCACCCAAGAGCGCTTGGATGAGATGACTTGAGTCTCTTCCAGCTTAACCAGTGGTCTCGTGTTCGAGCCCTGGGAATGCAGCAGTGTTAAAACTCTTGAGGGAGAGCTTTGCCGCCCTTGTGGTCCTACCCGACTTGATTCCGAATTAGTCGGTTCCCCTGTGGATCCGGAAACCGGAAGGTCCCTGTACCAAAAATTTGAAATTTTATTTTCTCCTATATATAATTACATTCGCTCACACGCCCACAACAAAACAGACGCTATGAAAATATTTAGCCAAACAAATGTTGTACTTTTTCTAATTTTCACCTTTTTTTTCTTCATTTCCTCCGAGCATGGACTTTGCTACGCTTCAGAAAAAAATTACCTTAGACCAATTGTTACATCATTCGTTAACGAAAATAAAGGTTTTACTGCGCAAGAAAAAAATAATAACAGTAACAACAATACCCGTAATAATAATATTTATAATAGTAAAATTGTTTATTTCAATGTACTGACGCACGGAGCAAAAGGTGATGGAGCCACAGACGATGCTAAGGTATATAATATATATAGCGCATAGTATGTAATTTATTTATTTAAAACAATTTTAACAAATAAAAATAAAGTTTATTAATATTATTGTTGTTGTTACTATTACCTTTTAGAGGGATTCTACAGTCCCGTTACGGAACCATTCCATCTGAATTTATAACCGTTGTTCTAACGGTTACAAACTCAAACAAAATATTTATGTAACGGGACCGTAGCATTTTCCTACGTCTATATTTTATTGGAAGTTTTATTTTTTTGCAGGCATTTTCGGAAACATGGAAAGAGGCATGCAAAGTGAATGGAGGGGTGATTTTAGTGCCCGCAGGATACACATTTCTATTGCAGCCCGTGATTTTTGATGGAAGTAATTGCAAATCCAACCCTGGATTCCAAGTAAATTAACTTCGTGCCCCCCCCTTTTTTTTTTTTATTACTCCTCCTATTTTTATTATTTGTGATTCTGGCTTAATTAATCATTGATTAAATAAATGTCGTTTTAGCTATTTTGTTCATATTTTTCTATTTTTAACCCTTCATCTAATGCACAGTGTCTCTTCATATTCCATCTACATTGTTTCTCATAACATCCATTAAATATGGTTAATATTGGCAAGAAAAAAAAGTTCTTAATTAGCGTGTTGTTTCCCAAAACGACAAATAATAAAAATATGAAGGAGTACTTATTAATGAATTTTTTTTTATTATATATAGATAAATAATTTTAGGATATGTCATGGGATTAAGATTATATATATATTTAAACAATTACACTGGTATAAAAATTGAGATTATTTACATGCAATGTGATTTTCCTATATAAATTGATGGTAAGAAACAATTTTATTTTTTTAAATAATATATATTTATGTATTTAAAAATTCACATAATTAATTTGTTTTATTTGAATTAAATGTCACAAAAATTTCAGATTGATGGTAGAATAGTAGCTCCAGATATATCATCGTGGGCGAAAACTGATTTTCAGTGGATTCTATTTATAAATAATAGAAAAGGTCTAATAATCAAAGGCAAAGGAGTAATCGACGGACGAGGTGCGCCCTGGTGGAACACGAGTCGTTTGAGGCCACACGTAAGTATTATATAAATCTTTTTTATTTTTTATTTAACATTATAATAAAATCTAATCTTAGTAGATCACAATTAACAAATTGAACATCTCAAATGTAATTACATTACAATATATTGGTTATGAAATTTATTTTTCAAAATAAATTGAGTACATTTAATATTTTTCAAAATCTTAAACAATCCCAAATAAATATCTTTTAAAATTTTCAAATCATTGAAATTAAATACACTTACTAGATTTTCAAAATCTCACTATTATAATAAAACCTGTAAAATTCTATACACCCCTATGACTATGTTTGGCAGACAAATAAGCTAGCTTATAGCTTATTTAGTTAGCTTATAAGCTCTCTGTATTCAAATAAGTCTCGTTTGGTAAGACGAGTTTTTTTAAAAAGCTTGAACTTATTTGATAAGCTTCCTTAAGTAGCTTTTCAAATAAGCTAGTTGAATTTTTTATTCCAGCTAGCCTATCAGCTAATTTTACCAAACACTTTTATCATATAAGCTAGCTTATCAGCTATAAATCATAAGCTATAAGCTATAAGCTAAAAAATTACTGATAAGCTATCAGCTAGTTTATCAGACATACTTTTACCAAAGATAGCTAAGTAAATCAAAGTTAGTTATTATGTATATAAATTTTGGCATATTCTATTGATTTTGTACATAATTTAAATGTCAGGCCTTGAGGATTGCAGATAGCTCAAACGTGGTTGTAACAGGAATAACAGTCCAAAATCCTCCTCAAATGCACCTTTTCATCGATAACGGCCAATACATTCAAGTCTACAACTTTAAGACGTCGGCTCCGGCCGAAAGCCCCAACACCGATGGGATTCACCTCTCGAATTGCCAACATGCCGTCATTCATAACAACACCCTTGCGTGCGGTAATTTTTTATTTTTTATTTTTTTCCCACAAATTAGGTCTCGTTTCGAATGTGTAAGTTTTTTCAACATTTCGCGTTTTAAATCGTTTGGTCAAAATGACGTGCCTGATATATATTTTACATAAGTAAATTTATTCGTATTTCCAAAATTGAATGCTTAATTAACACAATTTTTTATGTGAGGCAGCCTGATTGTTGGACAGATCGACTAGTCATACTTTCGTGAAAAATAAAAATACATACTGATATTATCAAATGTGCATTTATCTTATGTTGAAACATCTCGCGTTTTAATAACTTCACAAAATATGACGCCTCTAAGATCAATAGTATACTTTTGTTAAGAATATGCAATCGTTTGGTCAAAATGACACGTCTGATTGCTTGTGTGAGATGGTATAATCGTTAGGCGAGTTTACCAGTCAATTATTTGTACACACTCATTCCATATCCATTATTTATGTTTGATCATTTAATGAAGAAAAAATTTATGTCATTAAGATAAGTAATTTTTTGTTGTGATCATATTGATTACCAAGAATAATGAAGAATTACACAGGAGATGATTGTGTCTCAATACAAAAGGGATGCTCTGACATCAAAGTCTACAACGTCAACTGCGGGCCTGGACACGGGTACAGCATTGGCGGGCTTGGGCCAAACTTCGCCGAGGCCCAGGTTTCCGACATTTCTGTTTTCGACTCAAAGGTGCAAAACTCGTTAACCGGAGTACGGATCAAAACATGGCCGGTAATTGTCAAAGTTTCTTACTCCCACTTTATTCGTGAGATTTATAATGAAATACAGTGTGAAATAACAATTCAATTTTATTAATGAAGTCAATAGTTGGTTCGATAGTGAAAATCAACTTAATATACATCCCAATTAGAAAAATCTCAATTTAATATATATATATATATATATATATATATTTAATTAAAAGCATGTCTTTTCTGCACCATAAGATGATTTATAATTTATTTGGTTAATCTGAATAAGTTTGGTTTTGTAAAAGAGATTTTTTAAAAATATTCGTGTCTATCTCATAAGTTTCATTGGATAGCTTTTCAAACAAGTCTGTTAAAATTTTTATTTCATCACTTAGATTTTACCAACCACTTTTATCACATCAACTAATTTTAAACTAGAAGATATCAGTTATAAGCTTAAATTTCACTTATAAACTATCAGCTAGCTGATATCAAACGTAGCCTAACTATAACTCTATTTTATTTCTTTAATAACACGACAACAACAACTTTCGCAGGGAGGCTCAGGCTCCGTGACCAACGTCCGATTCTCCAACATCCAAATGTCGAACGTGCGGACCTCAATCGTGATCGACCAATTCTACTGTGGGGGCTCGAAAACGTGCAGCATCACGAGCCGAAACGCGATTCAAATTTCAAACGTGACATTCGAGAAGCTGACGGGCAGCTACACGTACAAGCCCATATCCCTCCTATGCAGCCCGTACAAGCCATGTCGGGCCCTTAGAGCCTCACTTATCAACCTTGTGTCGTCCAACCCGAGCCTCGGGCCGACCCAAGCCGAGTGCTCAAACGCCCGAGGGCAGGTGCTCACGCCAACTACACCGCCGCTAAACAACTGTCTCATGGGTCCGCCGGAAGTAGTCTGGGTGCCGGCGGATTCGCCGGAGGATTCACCAGCGCCGGCTAATTAATCACGAAGAGTCGAGTTGTTTGCAATAAGTTAAAATATACCATTTGTGGTGTCAATTTTGGGGAACTAATAAGATTAAATTAAAGATGTACCGTTAGATATTCATATGTTTAGGTATATTTTACTTATATACACTATCATTAATTTGTGGAATAAAGAGTTTAAAGATGCTACAACTAATTTGATTAAATTGCACGACAAAGTTAGGCCAAAATTATAAGACTTGATATTTATTTTTTTTAAAAAAAAAGTTCATTTTACACTATTTTGTGAGGGCACCAACACAAATCGTGCCAGTGGTAACACCGCATCTCCCTCATTTTTTCAATTGATTGACTTGAACGAATATTTGGTGTTACAAATCTACTGTTGAGACATAATAGGAAATCAATAAACTTCTTAAGAAAAGTTTATACAAAATGAACACTAGAGTTGTAAATAAGTTGAGGTCGTGTCAGAGGCCCGAGCCCTTATCGAGCGGAGCAGATCTCGGCTCATCATGCTAACAAGCCTATAGATAAGCTCGAGTTCAACATCAACATCAACATCAACATCAACATCAACATACCCAGTATATTCCCAATATAGATAAGCTCGAGTTCGACTCATTAAATTAGCCTTAACGAGCCTAATTACCATACTGAAAGTTCAATATAAATTATGTAAAAAATTTCAATTTTTATCAAAACTAACGATTCTTAACAACTTGAATTTGAATAAAGACAAACAAAATTGATTTTAGCTGAATAATATAAAAAGAAAAGAGAAATGGAAGAACCTACATACTCTATTATTAGATATAAAAACAAACCATCACTTAAGATAAACGACAAAAAAAAAATAAATAAATAAAATTAAAGTATTATTAAGCTTTAAACACAGTTGTCAATCACTTGCAAATTCCAATTACGGACCTAGCAAGAGCTGTTTATACGCAACGCCTCGTGAAGAGCTTACTAAATTTGGAATGAATAGTAATCATGTAAAGTCCAAAACCATCATTAATTGGACTGCTAATATAGATGTGGCCCTAATAACCCCACCCGACTGGTCCAGGCCCACTAAATCCTATTTCGAAGTCCACAAATTGGGCTTACGATAGTAAACAAGAGCGACTAGTAAATGGGGGCCTTTTTTATATCTCTTCAGAACATACACAACTAAGAGCAACTTAAAATGTTCATCATCTGCTTTTTGGTGTTTTGTCCTTTTACAAAAAAGGGTATGAATGGGGGTTGTCCTTGATGTTCTTGGTTT